AACCTGCCAGACTCCATCAATCTCAAACTTCAGGGACATTTTCCTACATTACTCTGCTTTCTCCTCCATTCTGCCTTCTTACCTTTTTTTGCTTTGCTACCACAAATGGCATGCCTTTTAGTTTATTTTTTCAGTGGTTTTTTTAAATTAATAACCTAACAGTATCACTACACTTTAAAGGAAACTTACGTAACATCCTTTGAGTGGGTAACCAACATTAGAACTACCATATACAAGCAAAGCCATGTGATAGTCATTTTTATAGCTTACTTGATAACTCCAGAATTGCTTGTGTTACCTAAGGAATCATTGTCTATTTCGTATAGCACCAGATTCTGTTAATGTTTAATGATGAATTTTGTAACAAAAACATGGCGTATCTTACACTTTAGAAATATTCTGCCAAAGCTGTTAAGGTTAGTGTGGCATTCAAGATGGGCATAAGTAAATGACAGAGTTGGCTATATATATATATATATATATATATATATATATATATCCAATAGAGTTGTATGCTGTTATCTTTCTTTCTTACTAAATATCCCTTTTTAACTCATGGCCTTAACTGATTATTTTGGATATTTCCTTTTTTTTCTTTTTTTGGTTTTTTGAGACAAAGTTTCTCTGTAGCTTCGGAGCTTGTCCTGGAACTAGTTCTTCAGGCTGGCCTTGAACTTGAGTGTATGCGTACATGCCTGTGTGTGCATGCCTGTGTGTATGTGTACCTGACTGTGCATGCTTGTGTGTATGTGTCTTTGGCTGTGTGTGTGTTTGTAGACTGGAAGTTGATGTTGGTGTCTTCTTCAGTTGTTTTCCACCTTACTTTTTGAGACAGAGTCATGGATTCCGGGGCTCCCTAATTCAGCCAGACTGACAGGCTGCAAACTCCAGGGATCCACCTGTGTCTGCCTCCACCATGCCTTGCTTTTTATGTGAGTGCTCGGAATCCAAACTCAGGCCCCTTGCTTGTTCAGTAAGCACTTTACCAACTAAGCAATCTTCCCAGCCCCCAAATTCATCCTCTTTCTTGCAACATTTTAAAAGATTTATTTATATATTATGTATACAGTGTTCTGCCTGCATGTATCCCTGCAGGCCAGAAGAGGGCACCAGATCTTATTACAGATGGTTGTGAGCCACCAGGCTTGGTGCCTTTTTCCTGCTCTCCATGCCAGGACATTGACTGATGGATGGTGTGCTTGTGCCTCTGCATTTGCCACAGCACAGTTGTGGAGGTCAGAGGTCAACCCAAGCAGGTTGGGTTTTGTTCTTCGCCAAGTGGGTCCTAGAGCACTAACTCGGTGGTCAGGTTTGATAGCTCCCACCTTTATCTGCCGAGCCATCTCACTGGCCCCACTTTTCTGCTTAAAGACTTCAATGAGTTTTTGTTATTTTCTTCATACAAAGCATACATATTTCTTGCTAGTATGCCTAAGTATTTTGTAACAATTTTGGACTGTTGTTGTGAATGGAACCCCCACTCACCCTGATTTGTTTTTATTTCCTTTGATGAAACAGAATTAAGTGCTCTCCCTCCCTCTCTCTCTTTTTCTGTCTTCTCCTCTCTTCCTCTTCCACCTTCTCCCTCTGAATCTCCTTTCTCTCTCATTCTTTTAATTCTGGTGTAATACAGTCTTTTGCTGAGTAATTTCTTGTTGACTCAATAGTTTTTTAGTTAATTCTTTTGTATATTCTGGGAGGAAATAACTGGCCTTTTGCCCTTCTGGAGACACAACTCTCTCTGTTCTTGGCACAGAACCCTGTGTAGATGCCCATCTCACCTCTGCCTATTTCATAGTGCCAAGCACATAGTATGGGCTCAGTGAGTGTCCCTCAGATGTGGGGGAATGAACCACTTGGCTAAGATGATCATTCCTGCATGATGGATTTACCCCGATTCCAGGTCTACCCTTAACCTCCTCAGAGAGTTGGGGGCTTTGGAAGTTGTGACCTGCAAATGGCAATGGCCTGAGGTACAACCCTCTGCTCCATTGCTGCTCCAGTATGGCTCTCGCTAGGTAACAGGAGACTCCATGCATGGAAAAGCTGCATGCTTGCAGCTGGTGCTCTTCCCACACTCTGGGCTCTCTGGGAATCCTTTGCTGTCTTGAAATAAGCCTCCAATATCTGATCAAGTGCAGAGGCATCATCACTTTGAGTGGTCTGGGGAGGGTGAGGATCAGGGTCTAACCAGTAGCTCTGTTAATAGTTCCGGGTCATGTTGATTTTGGTAACTGAGGCCAAGTTGAACCCAGGTAAGACCTTTCCCCAGAACTCAAATGAGCTTTTTCTTAACATCGGGGGTGAGATAGATTCTGGAATATCTTGGGAGAAGTAGCTGAAAGTGTCTTTCCTGGGAACTTTTGAAGCAACAGCATTACAATGGTTAAGAGCGTGGACCTGGCTCCTCCGTTAACTTCCTGTTGCTGCCATAACGAATTGCCACATGCTCAAAGGTTTACAACAATACAGATCCCTCGTCGTGTCTGGACTTCAAATGTTTGAAATGGGTCTGAGACGAAATCAAAGTGCCAGCAGAGCTTGACTCCCTTGGCAGACTTGGGAGAATCCGTTCTGGCCTCTGTGCTGCCCATATACCTTGGCACACGTTCCTGTCCATCTCCATAGCCAACAGGAGAGCATCACTCCAGCTCTGCTCCCGTCAGCTTCCCTCTCGCTCTCCAGCTGCCCTTCTTTCTTTTATGACAACTCTTGATTACACCCAGATAGCTCAGGATAATCTCTCAATCTTAAAATTCTTTTTAAACAATCTTTTTTTTAAAGGTTTATTTATTTGTGTGTTTTGCCTGCATGTATGCATGCACATGTGTGCTTGGGGCCCACAGAGGTAAGAAGAGAGCATCAGATCTGAAACAAGACTTACAGATGTCATGAGTCACCGTGTGGGTGCTGGGAATCAAATTGGGGAACTCTGGAAGAGCACCAAGTGCTCTAAACTTCTGAGCCATCTCTACAGCTCCTATAACCTCAAGTTTCTTAATTTAATCACACCTTTTTTTTAAAAAAATTTATTTATTTATTTATTTATTACGTATACAATATTCTTTCTGCGTGTATGTCTGCAGGCCAGAAGAGGGCACCAGACCTCATTACAGATGGTTGTGAGCCACCATGTGGTTGCTGGGAATTGAACTTAGGACCTTTGGAAGAGCAGGTAATGCTCTTAACTGCTGAGCCATCTCTCCAGCCCCACACCTTTTGGTTTTTGAGACAGGGTTTCTCTGTGCAGCTTTGGTGCCTGTCCTGGAACTCACACTGTAGACCAGGCTGGCCTTGAACTCACAGAGATTTGCCTGCCTCTGCCTCCCAAGTGCCAGGATTAAAGGTGTGCGCCACCACCATCTGGCTTAATCACACATTTAAAGTCCTTTCACTTTGTAACACATTCAAAAATTAGATAGAATGGCTACAGAAAATGCTGCGAAAGTTTCTGTTAGCCTATATATTAAATTGACTAATAAAAACTATGTATATTTATCATATGCACCATGATGCCGTGATATACCTTTTAGAACCTTGTAGTTGTAGAAAAATTCAACTAATTAGAATATCCATGACATCACATACTTACCATTAATTAATATGTTTACGTGCGTAAAATATCAAGATAGAGATATACATTCTTTGATCTAGCAATATATTATTTGGACTCTACTTCATAGAGAGAAAGGCACCCATACGTTAGGCTGCCTAACATGATGTTATGCTATTAAATCACCATTCACACCAGTCAAAAAATAAAAGGGAGAGAGAAGAAAGGCAGAAAGAAAATGCACAAACAGGAAATCATGTGACTGTGGAAAGGGAGCCTGTTGAATCACACAATTGTACATGTAGCTATAAAGGAGCTATTAAAAAAAAAACATTAGGTTTGTCCCTATGGACCTAAAGGAATGTCCTGAATGAAAGAGTAGAGAAGAAAGTTACCAGGTACTTGTAGTATGGTTTTATTTTTTAAGTACAAACATTAGCCCAGCACTTTGCTTAGCTGTAAGTCTTGGTTTCTTCATCTGTGAAAAGAGAATAGTAAAAGTACCCGGCCAGTGCTTGCAAAGGTGGAGTGACAGGCACGGCAGGTGCTCCGGAGTTTGGATGTGGAGAGGTAGGAGGAAGAAACCATCCCATACTCAGCTGAGGCCTGAGTGGGAAGGCCAGGGTCAGAGCTAGAGTTACGGGATGTTGTTAGGGGATGCTAAGAAATGGCAGGCCAGGCAGGCCTGGTGGTGGTGGTGCATGCCTGTAATCCCAGCATTTGGGAGGCAGAGGCAGGCGAATCTCAATGAGTTTGAGGCCAGCCTGGTATACAAAGTGAGTTCCAGGACAGCCAGCACTGTTACATAGTAAGAGAAACACTATTTTGAAAAACCAAAAAGAAAAAGAAAAAAGAAAGAAATGACAGAAAGTAATTTGTTTTTTGTATGTGTCTGCATTGCTACATAGGTAGGGGAATTGTTACTGTGGTCGGTTTTTTTTTTAACTTTTAAAAAAATGTGTGTTTGGGGCTGGAGAGATGGCTCAGTGGTTAAGAGCACCGCCTGCTCTTCCAAAGGTCCTGAGTTCAATTCCCAGCAACCACATGGTGGCTCACAACCATCTGTAATGAGATCTGTGCCCTCTTCTGGCAGGCCGAGTACTGAGAATACTGTATACATAATAAATAAATAAATAAATCTTTAAAAAAATTGTGTGTTTGTGTGTGTGGGGGGGGTGCACGTATGCTATGGCACCCGTGTAGAGGTCAGAGGACAGTTTGCAGACGTCGGTTGTGTTTTTCCACCGTATAGGTTCTGGGGAATCAAACTCGGTTGTCAGGCTTGCTTGTGAGCGCCTTTACTCCCTGGACTTGCTGGCCCTGTAGTAGCTTTTCATTGTCTTGTATTTTGTGAGTAGATCCGGTATCATAACCATAGCCATAGACACTGAGTAGGGTAAAACAAGCTGAGAAATAGAGTGTCCTAAGTGGTCTCATGTATCCGCAGCATCTACTGCCGAGGCTGCGCCAAGCCTCTGTGTTGCACATGTGCACTCCTGGACCGCAGCCACGGCGATCTCCAGTGCGACATTGGCGAGGAGATCCAGCAGTGGCATGAGGAGCTCGGCACCATGACGCAGGCCCTGCAGGAGCAGGAAAGGACCTTTGACAATGCTCACTCGCAGATGCGCTCGGCCATAGGCCAGCTGGAGCACGCACGCACAGACGCTGAGGAGCGAATCCGCTCCCGCGTTCGCCAAGTGGTAGAGCATGTGCAGGCGCAGGAGCAGGAACTGCTTGAGGCGGTGAATGCACGCTACCAGCGTGACTACCAGGAAATAGCTGGTCAGCTGGGCCACCTGGAAGCTGTGCTGCAGCGCATCCGCACTGGTGAGGCGCTGGTCAAGAGGATGAAGCTCTATGCCTCCGACCAGGAGGTGCTGGACATGCACGACTTTCTGCGCAGGGCACTCAGCTGCCTGCGCCAGGAGGAACCCCAGAACCAGCAAGTCCAGCTGCGCACCAGCGGCTTCGAGGAGTTCAAGATGTGTCTGCAGGACCTCATCTCCTGCATCACCCCGAGGACAGGTAAGTGCTGAGGCCACACTTATGGGCAGCTGGTTTGACATTTAAAGGTCCCATGCTTCACTGTTGCTCCCAGGGGACGGCGAGACAGAAATGATGATCTCTGTTTGGTAGATGAAAGAGGACTATCAAGTCTTAGGTTCCAGAGGATAGACTAAAAGGATAGGATCACTTGCTGTGGCAGGCACCCACAGGAGGCACTTTGCTAACTTACACAACTCTGTGGAACAGATGTGACTTTGTCAATCTTGGGAAACGTGGAAATTGAGAAGCTACTGAGCCGAGAACCGGATGTGGTATCATTGCAGCTCACTCTTGGGGTCTCCTAAGTCCGCTCACCCAGGAAGAGAGAAATCAACTGGGATGTAAAGTTAGGAGAGAAGGAGGCTCAGAAAACCTAGCAGGGAGGTACTTGGTCCGACCGAAAGGAAGAACTCTCCTAGAACGAAGCCGTCAGCTGCAGGTCTCTAGGTCCTTACTGGTACTAGGTAGGCTCTTTTGAGGTACAGAAGTGGCAGACCAGCTCCTCCCTCAAAAGTTGTCCTGTCCAATTGGGAGAGGATCCTGGGCCACCTAGGTAGCTTAGACACAAGCTTGGCTCTGAATCAGAATCCCGGAGCTGTGTCCTGTGTGAGCTCGTGGTATCAAGGGGTTTTCACAACAAAGACCGCGGGTGCACATGTACACTGGCAGGGTTTTTATTGAAAGCTTTTAGAAGTTCAACTTGGAGCAGCTATTGAGGACTACCTGTACTGGCTCCTGGCAGGTTCCAAGAATAAAGGCTTCCTTCTGGCGCTGGTGGCTATGGGCTCCTAAAGGTGCGGTCCTAGAACAGGGATGCACTTGGGATTTAGAGTCAGAGTGCTACCTTCCCCTCTGTTCTCGCTGGATTTATGCTTATGGCAGTCAACTCCAGTCTCTCTGTAGAGACATGTTCAATGGTGAATACCCAAGAAAAGCAGCAAGGACCTCCTCCCTGTCACTGTCCCAGCCCAGAATTCTCCTTACTAGACGGCCCTCGTGCTTTCTCTGTTTTGCTTTCCAGATGCAGCTGTAGTCGAGAGAGCCAGACCAGAGGCAGCCAGCACTCCCAAGGACTCTCTTGACCTCAAGCAGGTGAGAGGGGGTTTGATGTGTGAGGAGAGTTGGTAGACAAGGAGTTGGGAGTCCTGATGTCCTGTGACAGCAGAGAGAGTGCCTGAGAGGGGACAGCCAATGACTGGACTGGAGCTCTCAGGAGGAGAGTGTTAAGGAAAGCTTAAGGAAGGGCTGGCTGCCTGGTGAGGGTTCCTGAATGCCTGAGTAGCTCTTGATGGGCCATGAGCTACTTCAGGAGGGATCAGACCCAGAGGTGGACAGTAAGTGGAGGAAGTAAATATAAACAATGGCTCTATTGGATGTGACACGGGACATCCCTGAAGCTCATACTGAATGGGCGAGCCATTTTTTGAGGCTTGCATAGGTGAACCTCCTCCCCACCACACATGATTCTTGGATTTAAGGCTAGACATCAAGAACTCAATCCCACAGATTCCAGAGCCATCATATACCTAAAAGCTCTAGTTTCTCGGGGTGGGAAGACATCTTTAGGTATTCTCATGTTGGTATTCCCTCGGCTGCACCCTTGACTGCATACACACACATGCCTTTGGGGGCAGGAAAGCCATTCATTCTTGAGGTGGTACCCCCTCCTCTGATTGCTCTGACTTAGTGCTTCCCAGGGTAGAAATACACGGGAATCCTTTCCATTCTCCCTTACCAGCTCTCCTCTTAGGCAGGGCTCCCGGGTGGCAGGATGAGTCCTCTCACTTCCTTCCTGCACCTGATATCTTTCACCCCCCTCAGCTTGGTCATTCCATTGTGTGTGTCTGCATGTCAAGATGTGGGCCTGGGACTTCTGGTGGGCAACAAGGGTATTAGGCCTCTCTGGCTTTGCCTTGGGGTTACCCATGGGCAAAAGAATACTGTGGGCTACAGCAGTCAGGAAAGGCTTCCTGTGGGAGGCAGGGCTTGGAGAATTTGGAGCTCCTAGAAAGCATGACGTCTAAGGCCTCTTGCAGAGTTGCAAACCCGAGAGACTCGGCTGTGAAGTAGTTTGAGCTTGAACTTTGGCAGTGCTCTGCTTTACAAAACTTCCTGCTTTACACCACGGTCGTAATCTGGGTGCTGAGCTTAGTCCTCAGAAAGGGGTGGGTAGCAGTGCATGGATGCAAAGGTCACGGGAGGCAGGCACAGACCTGTCTCGGGGTAATATGGCTGCTTTGTCATTCCTGTCAAGAGAGGCGGCTCTGGTCCTCACAGCACTGCCTCAGAGAGGGAAATATTTATGACTTTAAAGCTCTAACCCAGTGGTTCTCAACCTTCCTAACACTGTGACCCTCGGAGGCTGGAGAGATGGCTCAGTGGTTAAGAGCACTGGCTGCTCTTCCATAGGACCCGGGTTCAATTCCCAGCACCCACATGGCAGCTCATAACTGCCTATAACTCCAGTTTCAGAGGATCTGACCTTCAACAGACATATATACAGCCAGAACCCCACTGTATACTAAACAAATAATCTTGAAAAATATGGTTCCTCGGGCTGGAGAGATGGCACAGTGGTTAAGTGCACTGCCTGCTCTTCTAAAGGTCCTGAGCTTAATTCCCAGCAACCACATGGTGGCTCACAACCATCTGTAATGAGATCTGGTGCCCTCTTCTGGCCTGAAGGCGTGCTTGCAGGCAGAATACTGTATACACAAAAAATAAATCTTAAAAAAATATGGTTCCTCATGTTGTGGTAACAGTAACCCCCAACTATAAAATTGTTTTCGTTGCTACTTCATAACTGTAATTTTGCTACTGTTAGGAATCATAATGTAAATGTCTATTTTCCAATGGGTCTCAGGCGACCCCTGGGAAAGGGCCATTCTACCCCAAAGGGGTTGTGACTTACATGTTGAGAACCGCTGCTCTAAGACAACTATAGGTCAGTGACTTTCTCCCTGTCTTCTTCTTTAGTACTGGTGGGTAGAAAGTTGAGGGAACAGAGGCAGAGGCACCCAGCCTTGCCGATAGGAAGCCCAAGTAGAATGAGAGCCTTTTATATGCCAGCAGCTGCAGTTACAAAGGCAAAGATAAGACGTTTAAACTCTTTGCTCCTGTTTTGAGGATCGAATCTGGGGCTTGGAACATGGTACACAGGTTCTTTACCATTGAACTGCCTGCCCAGACCCATGTGTAAGTTTGCATTTAAACATTTACCTAAGTACTTTTGGGGTGGTACCTAGGAGCAGAATTGGTAAGTCATGTGGCAATTTATTTCTTTTTTATTTTATGTGTGTGAGTGTTTTGCCTGCACATGAGTGTACCATACGTGTGCACCATACGTGTGCAGTGCCTGAAGAAGCCAAAAGAGAGTATCAGTGCTGGGAACTGAACCCAGGTCCTTTGCGAGAGCAGCCAATACTCTTAACCTCAGAGCCATCTCTCCAGCTCCTTTTTCACTTTTTGAGGAACGGCCCTGGCTTCATTTTGATATAGATACACAAACCCCTGAGCACCAAGTCTGACATGGAATAGTAATAAAGCCAGTATTATATCTATTCTGGCTGATCTAATCCTCATCTACCCACTACTGTTGAAATAGGAGCGGCGGGGCTGCGTCCCCGGCACCCAGCCGCCCCCATGGCTAGCTTTACCCGAAATAATTACACAGAAACTGTATTCTTTTAAACATCACTTGGCCCATTTCTATCTAGCCTCTTCTAGGCTAGCTCTCGCACCTGGACTAGCCCATTTCTAATAATCTGCTGTAGCCCATGAGCTGGCTTACCAGGAATGATCTTAATCTGTGTCTGCCTGGAGTGGGAGAATCATGGCGACTCACCTACTCAGCTTCTTTCTCCCAGCATTCTGTTCTGTTTACTTCACCCACCTATGTTTTAACCTATGAGGGCCAAGCAGTTTTTTTATTGCTTAACCAATGAAATCAACAGATTGATATATGACACTCCCACATCACTTCCCCTTTTTCTGTTTAAACAAAAAAGAAAGGCTTTAACTTTAACATAGTAAAATTACATATAGCAAAACAGTTATCAAGCAAGAATTACAGTTACAATATTTATATCTATTTTATCTTTTATCATAACTAAGGAAAACTATAACTATCTATTCATTCTTCAACTCCATCAAAGACTCCAGAAGGATATAATACTGCCTAAGTAAACAAGAAATCCAAACTCTAGAAATGACAGAGACATCTCGTTGCCTGGACAGTCACCCAAAGTTCCTCTGCACTGTTGGGGCATCCATCTTCGGCCTACAGGCCCATAGTTTCCAGCAGACATTTCCATGAAGCAGGAAATTCCAAAGACAGTTCAGTCACTATCTGCTGTGTCCTGCAGAATGTCTCGCAGACTCTTTCATGAGTCATGAACCCCGAAAGACCATCTCACCTTTAGGCAAGTTCAGCAGTCCTCTCTCTGCGGGTTCTCTGTGTCCATTTTATGCAACAGTCCAGGCAAGAGCAGTTTCTTGCCCAAATGGCTATCCAACTCCATAAGGATCCTCTTCGATGCCCATCTTCCTCTCGAAGTAGATTGGTGCCGCCAGGAACAGACATGTCTCATTGTCATGAAAAGTCCTAAGTTATTAAAATATTTTAAATGCCATATTCTGCAGTCTTTGAAAGATATGAAGAATGTCTATCTAACTGAAATGTATCTCTATATATCTAGAAAATCTAACTAACATGACTACAAGCTTTACTATTATTGATGATTATCCATTAACAACCTATATTTTCTAATTATACATTATACTTTTAAAATGAACCACACAATCACAATACCTTAGTCAAGAGCAGAAATACATATACATATAGCAAAATTGACCTTAAAATCCACACCAATGCAGATTATTCATACCTATATCATTTCCCCCTTTAAATGTAAAAGAACATTTATAAACAATATTTTGGGAACATGGGCGCAGTTTTTTCTCTCCAAACTGCTTCCTGCTGAATGGGGGCGCTATTAATCAGATCATTTAGGGTGTAACCTGTGTGCCAGGTTTATCTCAGTCGGCAGTTGAGTGAAGTAATTTTTTGAGGGTGTTCACAGGAACTTTTCGGGAGGTCGTGGTCTATCATACCATATCGGGATAGATGCAATCCACAGGGTCTGGTCCTCTGTGAAAACAAAAGAAGACCCTTTCCAAAGCATCATATTCTTAGACCCAAATTCTGAAGTCATACCTTCATGATATCCACTTTGGTTCCACTTGGCAGCCCATATAATGAAATGTCTGTCTGTACTTAGCTCCTTCACAGTCAAAAATTTTAAAGAAAACACAATGTACATAATCCAGACTCTCTGTGAATTTTCCATTTTTACGTGGCTTATTTTTACTTTATTTCTTTTAATCTCTTAACTATCTGTACTCTGTTTCTTTAAAAACTTTTGCCCTTTTTTAAGACATGAACTTTATTCTTTATATTCTTTTTCTTCTCTCTCTCAAGCCTACGTACATTCATCCAACAGTGTGACTCATTTAGTGGTCTGAATCTGTCCTATTGTGAATCTGCAATTTTTTACTATCCAGGAGCACTTTTGATTTGTGCCTTTAAATCACTAGGCGCTTAAGAATCTAAGCTGTGACATTCCTAGGTCAAAAACAGGTACTGCCTGCTGGCCCCGCCCAGTCCAACATGGCGGAGCCGCTCATGCCTCTGATCCTTGCACATTGCACCACTAGCATGGCGGAGCTGCTTGTGCCTCTGAGCTGCGGCACGCAATGTCCCCCTTTTAGGCACACAGCAGTCTAGTTGCCATCAAACAAATCGTAGCACTTTACTTCAAATGCTCCATTCAAAAGCTCTGTCTCCCGCACCAGCCAGACAGAGATCGCAATGGCTGCACAGTCCTAGGAAGCTGGCATTTTAAAACAGCCAGTTTTTTCCTGCTGCTCAGTCAGGAAAATTTCAAATGGAGGGCGTACCATTTTGTGCTAGCTCTGGAGCCGCCAGATAGGAGCGGCACTCAGCACTTTAATTCTGAGACTGAGCGTGCAGCACAGAAATTCTTTTTATCCAAGTTACAACCAAATCTGATACATGTGGGCAGGAATCCGCCATGCTCTTCCCCCTGCCTAAGCCTGATTCTGCAGTCTGCCCAGGTGCAGGTGGTCTCAGAGCACTCTCCTCCTATCCCAAGCGGGAACACAAACATCCAGTCCCATAAAATCCATTGAAATGCTTTAAAGCCAGAGTTCACGCTGGCAGCACAGCTCCAAGAAGCCGCGATTTAAAATGATGCAGCGTTTTTTTCTGCTGCTGATGCCGAATCAGGAAATCTCTCTACAGCACGCCACCAACAAACAGCAAAAATCTGTGTTAAACTCTCTCTTCCTTATTTTTAAGCCTTCTCAGGTTTTTAAGTGGATTTAGTCCATCACATCTGTTGAAATAGGAGCAGCAGGGCTGCGTCCCCGGCACCCGGCCGCCCCCACGGCTAGCTTTACCCAAAATAATTACACAGAAACTGTATGCTTTTAAACATCACTTGGCCCATTTCTATCTAGCCTCTTCTAGGCTAGCTCTCGCACCTGGACTAGCCCATTTCTAATAATCTGCTGTAGCCCATGAGCTGGCTTACCAGGAATGATCTTAACCTGCGTCTGCCTGGAGTGGGAGAATCATGGCGACTCACCTACTCAGCTTCTTTCTCCCAGCATTCTGTTCTGTTTACTCCACCCACCTATGTTTTAACCTATGAGGGCCAAGCAGTTTTTTTATTGCTTAACCAATGAAATCAACAGATTGATATATGACACTCCCACATCACACTACTGGAGCTCTGTAGGGACTACATACTCTTTTAGATACATTGGAGGTGTTTGGCATCTTTCATCCATATCACCTTATGAAGCAAATGTTATTAGCCCATTTTTTGGAATGAGACTGAGGCCCAGTGAGTTTTAAGTAATTCCATTGTGTAGCAGCTGCTGTGAGCTTGCCCCATCCCTGAGTCTTAACTGTCCAGCAGCTTGGATTTTCTCACTGCCGCAACTCTACCATTGCTGAGGGAGGTGCTGCCCTCAACAACAGCAAGTGGCTTGTCTCTAGAGGCATGCACGCTAGGCTAGTTGTCAGCCATGTTCTGAGGAGTTGGGCCTTGTGGTCCCTGAAGTATCTTCCTGCCCTGTCAGGAAACTGCTGATGCCAGCTGGGTACCGGCAACCCAAGTTCAGAAGGAGGTGACGTCATAGAGGGTTTGGGAAGAATTACTTGTCCCAGCGACTGGGACCAAGAAGCTTACAACTGAGGCAGGTTGTTAGACCCAGGGTTCCTGGCCATTTCTGACTTTCTTGTTACCTGATCTTCTAGCCCAATGAAGTGCAGAGTGCACAGGCTGAAGCCCTGAATATGTCTAAGACCCAGCCTGTGGCCATGGTACAGTCAGTGCCCGGAGTGCACCCTGTGCCAGTATATGCCTTCTCTATGAAAGCCCCCACCTATCAAGAGGTAAGTACCCCTACTCAACCCTGCCTCACCTGAAGGGCTCAGACTCCATCAACAGTGAGGCATAGCCAGATGACAATCTGGACCTTCCTGAGGTCTTATTTGCTTAGCATGTACCCCCATATTCTCCATTGCTCAGGGCTGCTCCACTAGGAAGCCCCCAATAAACTTGATCCCAGCTGGGATGCTAAGATGACCAAAGCTGTAAGGCCAACAGAGATGGCTGGCCAGCGGCCATGACCAGTGTGCATGACAACCCAAGAGAGCTTCCTGACTGCAGAGATTTGGTCAGCATGGCCAAAGGAACAGGAGCAAAAACATGCCACAAGCCCATGGCACTCAGCTCAGGGTCCTCAGCCCAGCAACACTGGAGGCTCCTGAGTCGCCCCTGTAATCACTGTGCAGGAAGCCTCTCAGACAGTCATCTCCAAGAAGAGGAAGTGCTGCTGCCACAGCGATAGCTCCAGGAAGATGATCAAGATGGAGTCCACAGAGGAGGATGAGGACAGGTTGACCAATAGCTCCCCTGAGCAGCCCAGACCCAGCACTTCCAAGGCCGTCTCACCTCCCCATCTGGATGGGTCTTCCAACCCTGGGAGCCCCATCCAAGAAGAAGAAACCCTCCTGCTCACCGGCAATCATGTAACCAGCGACACAGGGGAAACAGGTAGGGAGATCAAGCCGGCTGGCCCCTGGGTAGGACCCTCATGCTGTCCTCAGATATCTGGAACACCCCCACCCCACAGCCTGATTCCACCTGCATTCCCATGCATACCTTGCTCTGAGCTGCCATTGAGTATGGAGGGGTAGTTTAGGCTGTGATTCCAGTGTGGGACACTTCCAGTGTGGGACACCTGAGGGACCGTGCCCCAATCTGACTCCTTTCCTCCAAAACTGCCAGTGCCAAGCACTGTGCCTTGGGGATATATATATATATATATATATATATATATATATATATATATTCCATCTCCTCCTGATGGGCACAGGACAGGGCATCTGTCACTCCCAGCCCACTGGCTTACAAGGACTCTCCTGGGTGGCCGTCTCTCACCCCAGCCAGTGGACACATCAGGAAGGACCTAATGCCTCTACCCTCTCTCCATTTCAGAAGAGCGAATTGTGGTGATCAGCAGCTCAGAAGACTCAGATACCGAGAATCTGGTGAGTCACTCCTGCCTTCTCTCATTTAAGGTCCCAAAGGTTGAGCCACAGCAGGGAACTCTCAGGCTCATCTGGCGCCTGGGAAATTTGCCTTGAAATTTTCCAGCAAGGCAATAAAAGCTTAAACTGTATCAAGGAGAGTCTGCAAGTACCGGCTGCATGCTTATTGCAGCCTAGCCTTCTTACGGCACCAAGCAAGAATTCCTATGAAATGCTTGCTAGACTGCTTCCTCCAGGGCCTGGCTGTCCTCTGGAATACCCAAAGATCTGTATAGAGCTTCCTTATATATTTTCTATCTGCTAAATTCTCTTTGAGGAAAGCTGGACAAGAGTTCATTCCCTGGTTGATCAAAGAGCTCGGTGTAGTGGGGCACGCCTTTAATCCTAGCATTTGGGAGGCAGAGGCAGGTGGATCTCTGTGAGTTTGAGGCCAGCCTGGTCTACAGAGCGAGTTCCAGGACACCCAGAACTATGTAGTGAGATCCTGCCTGAAAAACAAACAAAAAAACAAACAAACAAAACAACAATAACAAAATAAGTCCATGAAGGCTAGTGATGGAAAGATTGTGTCTATGGGTAACAAATAATGGACAGGAGATGTCTTATTTACTTTTTTGTAACACCATGACTAAGGTATGTTATAGTAGGAAGAGGTTATTGGACTTACAGTTTCAGAAGGCAATTGCATGACCATCGTGGCAGAGAGCATGGCAGCAGGCAGGTATGGTGCTGGAGCAATAGTTGAAAGCTCACTTCTGATCCACAAGAATGAGAGCTGCTAACTAGGAATGGCATAGGCTTTTGAAACCTCAAAGTCCACTCCCAGTGACAGGCCTTCTCCAACAAGGCCACACCTCCTATCCTTCCCAAACAGTTCTGCCGCCTGGGATCCAAGTATTCAAACATTTGAGCTTATGGGGAACATTCTCATTCCAACCACCACAAGAACTACATGTAAGAATTTACTTTGTCTTAGAAAATGTCTTTAAAGGTGTATTATAATGAAACCAGTGACTCTTCTGTACCTTGTGGTATGTTATTAGAGACAAGGCTGTTAAATGTCCAGGGAAAAACAGGGCCTGAGTAGAGAGAAAGATTAGATCAGGGTCCCCAAGGTTCTTTCCGGCCCGCAGTCTCAGATCCCATTTTGGAAAATATACAAAGCCACTGAACACAACTGCAGCACCCTTTGTGCCAACCCACTCCTTCCTGCTGAGCACCCGAAGAGCCTCCCACCCACACTGGACCTCCCACTCCACCAGGGTCTGCAGTCTACCTCAAGGCGCCTCCCAGCCACCAGCTTGGTCTTCCCATCATCCCACTGAGCAAGCTGCCAGCCCTGACCTGAGTCTTCCAGCCAACCTACCACTTGCCAGAAGTTTGCTGCTGTCCTCTGTCAGATCTGCATTTTCTCATACAAAGCAAGGAAAGCCACGTGCCTTCATCACACCCTCGGTGACCTGTATCCCCCAGGGATATTGTGCTCTAACACAGGCCTCCTCTTGTAGCTCAGGCCACCACCCCTACCACCAAAGGGCATCCCGGGCATCCTGCTGATGCCTGCATACCATCAGCACACTCTGATTGATGTGCAGAGCCTTCAGGGCTCTCCCAGGGCTCCCTTGGATTTTCACCAGTGGCTTTGCAACGTACTTTTTCTCCCTTGCTCCTCCATGACTTCTCAGACTAATGCTTCCTCCATGGGTGGGGCACAGGTAGCTGGTTGTAGGAGGCCGCTTGTTCATTCCCGGCTGCCCAGACCACAAATAATCACTCAGAAACTATATTAATTAAATCACTGCTTGGCCTATTAGCTCTAGCTTCTTATTGGCTAGCCCTTACATCTTAATTTAACCCATCTCTATTAATCTGTGTATTGCCATGTGGGTGTGGCTTACTGGCAAGGTTCTGTCCTGCGTCTGTCTCTGGTGGGGCTACATGGCTTCTCACTGACTCCCCCTTCTTTCTTCCAGCATTCAGTTTATTTTTCCCTCTCTAGCCCTATTCTACCCTATCACAGGCCAAGGCAGATTCTTTATTCATTAACCAATAAAAACAACACATACACAGAAGGACCTCCCACACCAACCAGTCCCCTCAGATATTCTAATAAAGTCCCTATGGAGAATCCCAAGTTCAAGGCCCACCTTGAAGTCTTTGGAATCTCATTACCACCACCCTACCCACCCAAGAGGCCTCATCCCTACACCAGTCCAGGCCTGGGCCCTCTATCAGATGGACCCCTAAGAACCTGAGCTCTTTCCTCCTCCGTGGCTGCTTGCCACCCCACTTCACTGTCTGCAGTCTTGTGACCAGATATCCCTGCCCATGATGCAGAGACTCTATCCATCCCGAGACCTGCTGGTATGACTGCTCAATAAATACTTGTTAAACGATCTCCATTGTGAACCCTTATTCCACGGCCATCAGATCCTGTGTAGGACCTTCCCTGTGGGGGGCGTTTGTCTTCTCCCTGCCTGGAACCTGGTTCTTCTCTGGGGGAAGCCATGGCTGTCTTCCTTTCACACTTAGGAGCATCCAAAGTGAGAAGCAGGACGAGGCCTATACAGTCCATCTTCTGGTGGCTTTGAGGTCCAGCTTTTAGGATGTAGCTAGCTTTATCTCCCCAGTTTATCTCAGACCCCTGCGCACCTCCCCTCTCACGGAAGGAAGATAGGACCATCTGCCCCCTAGATTTCTTCTCCCCCTCATGCCTTGCTTTCTTCCTGGTTGATTTCAACACCCACCATCTGTCCTACACTCCTTGATGTCTGAAGGATCTTCAGCCTGTCACTTCAGCTGCCAAGCAGTGATATGACCATACTGTGTTCCTTGATACCATCTCTAAATGGACTGCTCTGACGACCACAGCCTCTTGTTCCTTGCTCCTGCAAAACTACCATCACCCCCCTCCAGCTGAGGTGGAGACCTGCTGACAGAAACCTCAGGAAGATTCAGGGTCCTGTTGACTCTCTGCTGCCTCCTGTAGGCAAGCTGGAGAAAAGCATACAGGAAGGCAAAGAGCAAAGGGCTTCTGGTCACACTTGTCTACTCTCATTTGGCTCCCCGGGGACACATCTCTGGGCTTCATCCTGGTCCTCAACTCTTACCTCTTGACTGTACGTTTCGCCCTGGGAGAAAACAGAAACACTTTTGACTGTGGAAATCATGGGTGTCTGCTACCTAATTACAGATCTGCCTGTTGCTATCCCTTCTCTTCTTCTACCCCTTCTGCCCGGAAGTCTGCCTGCCTGCCTCTAAGACCCACACCTGTGTCTGGCCCAGCTAGCCCAGCCATGGCCCTGTGGGAAGCCTCATTGTCTCATGCTCATCTGCCTATCTCTTTTGATTCCTCCACTGTCTTCTTGCCAGTCGCCACCCACTCCCTACCTCTCCCTTGGCCTGTGCTTCACGCTGCTCATCTCACTTCCTGCACCTCCCACCCTGCCTACAAACCCTACCCATCTGTCCCAGGGAAGCTCCAGGCTTCTCTGCACAGTGGTCCTAGATAGTCCATGGCATTCTTGACTGGGTTGGCCTCTTCCCAGAAATCTGTCTTCTCTTTGCATCTCTGGGTACTCCATTCCAAGTCTCCTTGCTCTTGTGAGGGCTGACGTTCTGGCATTGTCTCTGGACCTTCTTTTCCCTATACTCTGTGCAGCCCGTCCTGAGTAGTTGTTACCCGGAGAGAGCTGATGCCCGTGCCTGCTCCTGACTGCCAGACTAGCATGTCAGGTCCTTCTAGCTCTGCCCAGATGCCCCGTGTACACCTCACACGTTCTCTCCCCTCTCATGTCAGTCCTCTACCATCAGCCTAGGCACACAATGTGAGAACCCTGAAGGCCCCTTTTAAGTATGTCTCACCTCTGGCCAAAATGTGATCCTTGCCTTCTTATGGCTTATACTCTTCCAATACCTGGACATTTCTTTCTAGCTCATCGCCTTTGACAAAGTTCAAGCTACTACCTGTGGATGGAGGGGGAAGCCCAGGAAGGAGCGGTAGAGAAAAGTGTTCCAGCAGTTTTCCTAAACATTGGGCAGGGTTCAGTTCAGGAGATGCCAGAAGCAGTGTAGCAGATGGGGAGAGGAAGAGGGGTCCCAACTCCACCATCTTTGGGGGTATCAGGGTCATCAAAGGAGGAGGGAGATACACATTTTAGGCTAGGAAGAGGTGACTAGCTAGAAAGCATTGCTCGCTGTGCAGAGCAAACCTGGGGAGCGGAAGAGAAGAGCCCACTGCTTTTGTGAGTCTACATAAAAATGAACCATTACTAACTAACCATTACTAGGGCCTCTTGAGCATTTCATTCTCAACTCCACAGACCCTCCCAAACCCCCGAGACACTATAGCATACCTCCCTATAGATCCCACTCTGCATCTTGGAGGGAGGGACAGTGCCCCAGGCTATCCAGCTGCACATCCTCGCTGTGGGGCCTTTGTTCTGCCTTGCAATGAGGGGTTATTCTATAGTATTGGCCTGCTCAGGGGCCACCTTTTCCTAGTGAAGCAGTGGAGGTAGGCCCCAGCTTGGCTTGAAGCTAGTTCTGTCTGAGGGGAGAGACTGAGCAGGGAGGAATCCATTGGAAGAGCTCACCCCTACAGCAGGGTCACAGATTTGGAGCAGGAGGCGAGTCCCAGTCTCTTGTAGAGTCCTTGGGATGAGAACTGTTGCATAAGCCCCGGAAGGGTGAGCGAGCCCTGCACCTAGCCAGGGCCACTGTTTAGGGAGTCACAGCAGAAGAGACAGGTATTCTCAGCCATGTTTGTGACAGTTGACCAGACACCTTGGTAGCAGAAGGACCAACTGGAAGCTAGGGGGCAGCCTGTGACAGATCTAGCAACGATGACTGACCGAGGAAGAGAGGTCAATGGGCAGCATCTGGTGCAGAGATGCAGTCACGATATCGATGAGTATGCATATCAGAGAATGTGAGGCAGGCACTTGGCTGAGAAGGTGGAGCTGTTTGCCCAAGAGCAGAGCTGCCCGCAGAAGGGCTGGAGGAGCAGACAGAAGGGTCATAGCAGTCAGTTAGATGGCCTGGTTTCCTAATATCTTTGTTGTGCCTCCAAGGCCTCACGGCTGCAAGAACTAGGAGTTTGTGTCTCTAAACCCCAGAGATGCGTGTGTCTCGCTAAACTGAGGCCGGCTGTAGCTGAAGTTTGAGTGCTGAGAAAGGTTCTTCGGGAACACAGCTCTCACTGAGCACTGACGGAAGACACTAGATGGCTCCTTGAAGCGGAATGCTGGCCTCCCAAAGGATTTGGCTTGTGTCTGTTCAGTTGATGATCAAACACGGACTGAACCGCTGTGTAGACCAAGGATTCTCAAGCCTGGCTGTGCAGTAAGGAGTTGAAGCAATTGCAGATTGCTGGGTTCCACTCCTACAGATCCTAATTGAATTGTTCCCTGTGTAGCCTGGCCTTCCAGAGCTTTTTATACCACTAAGGCCTGGCCGAAATCAAGCACCGCTGGATTGGGGGATTCACTTGAGCATCTGGGTGAGAAGAATGTTTGCTTGTTTTAAGGAAAGTGACATTTACATCATGGGTGTGATACAGGAGGGACAAGAAAGGCCAGCTTTTGCCTCTGCCTGGGAACAGGGAAGGGGGACTTAGAGCCCACAGTGATACTTAAGTCTCCCATCCCATCCCTTAGGTTCTCACCATCATGCCACAGTTTCTTAAAGTGTTTTTTGTTTCCTTTGCTGTTCTCATTCCTGGACCAACCTTTCTTTTCTCGGCCCCATTCCTTTCTGCTTCCATTTCATTTTCCCCACTAGCATGTCTCTCTCTCTCTCTTTCTCTCTCTCTCGCTCGCTCGCTCGCTGTGTGTGTCCGTCCCTGTCCTTCACACCCTGTTCTGGTTTTTGGGATAAGATGGAGGAGTGAGGGCTGCAGGTGTGACTAGAGGCTCCCTTGCTGAGCCAGGAGGGAAGGATGCTCTGTGTGCCCTCCCTATAGGCTCTCCTCTTTAGACATGTCTTGCTTAAATGGTCCACTCCTGTCAGGCTGGCTTGGGATTTAAGAGGAGAGGTGAATAAGGAGTTTACAGCTGCATAACCTAAGTACATGGTGTTCCAGAGAGACCAGCCTCTGCCGTAGTGCATGGCAGTTCTCAGAGATGGGGGAGGAAGGGCTGTGTCCAGGCTAAAAGGAAGACCCAGCCTTTCCTACAGTCACATCTCAGAGGAAGGGAAAGAGGCATCTTATTGAGACACCCACAGGTTCCCTCAGAGAAGGCCGATTTAGAAATGAGGCTTCCTGCTATGTGGTGTGAAGACGAAGGCGCTAACCAGAAGGTCCAGCCGTGTGTCACTCCAGGTATCCTGCTCTGGAAGACTGCCTTCAAGGCCTGAAGAGACATCGCCAGAAGGAGATGGAAGTCATTGCCAGGGGTCATGTGGAAGCATCTGGGGCCACAAAGGGGCTTTTGAAACAGGGAAGATGAAGCCCATGTGTCATGGCAGTGGTAGCAGAATCGACCGGGCTGGGGATCCGGCTCTTCAACAGCTGGCGAGAGTAAACATTTCCCTACCAGGGAAGGACATAACCGTGGTGACTCAGCTCTGACCCCTAGTCCATGTGTGAGGATAGACACAGAAGCCCTGAGTAGAGGAAGACACTGGAAATGACCAGATTCTTGTGTGGGGCACAGAACTGAGTCTACTGCTCGTGCCTAGCAACTAGGAGGATGCCTCCAGGAAGGTCTTCACAGGGAAGGCAAGCAATGTGGGGTCTCTGGGTGCAAGGAGACTGGGAAGAAGTTGGGGTGCCTGGCACAGGACTACAAAATGCATGTTGAGTGAAAAGCAACCTCCTATAGGAAAGCCCAGCTCTGGTTAGCTTCCTAGGGAGCAATACGACTTCTCTTGGCTGAAGGTTTGTGGAAAGCAAGTGGTTTTGGAAGGCTGGGTGATAAACAGCCTGGCCAAAAGCAACTTGTGCAGGAAAGGGTTTATTTCAAGCTACAGCTTGTGGTCTGTCATCCAGGGAAGTCAGGGCAGGAACTCAAGGTAGGAGCTGATGGAGAATCAGTGGAGGAATGCTGCTTATTGGCTTGCTCAGCTGGCTTTCTTATACACCCCAGGACCACCTGCCTAGGGAGTGGCACCACCCACAGTGGGCGTTGCCATCTCATATCAATCACTAATTAAGAAAATGCCCTGCAGGTTGCCTAAGTGCAGTCTTTTGGAGGCATTTCCCCAACTGTAGTTCCCCCTTCTCAGGTAACACTAGCTTGTGTCAAATTAACAAACAACAACAACCAGGACAGCAGTTACGCTCAGCCCCAGGCGCTAACTCCATTGACTACCAGAGCAGTCTGTAAGAAGACAGACTTAGGGCCTTATGTGGGCTCTGTCCCAGCTGTTCCCCATCTGTCCCACTGCCCTGTCTCATGTCCAAACGTGGCATTCATAGGCCATTCAGCAGCTGTGCTGTTAAGTAACTTGGTGTATTATCCTCAGACATTCTAACCTGTCTGTAGCCCCCAGCTTCTTGGGAAAATCTCAGCGGTAGAAAGAGCCCGTCCCTTCCCTGAGGCCTGGGACCTTTAAAATGGTGTTCCAGCCAGGGCAACCTTGATGCTGAAGAGCCAAGTCTCAGTGTCAGCCTGGGGTGGGTGCCGGAGCTCCAAGGCTCCTCTGTGCAGCTGAGGTATGGGTGTGGAGAGTTGAGGTCTCCAGGATCTGAGGCTCTGAGCTGCTCCCTCCCACATCCTCTCCCAGTCAGGGAATGTGTGTCTGTCCACCTAGATGCGGATTTCAAGAGGCCAATCATTCCTTTCCTCTATATTGCAAGACACTGTGGGTCAGTGTGATTCTGAGGGCTAGGAAAGCCAGACCCCTGCCGCTTCCAAAGAATTGCCGGGGGTTGTGGATGAGACCATCTCTTGTTCCCATTTGTTTCTTCTCAGTCTGCTCAGAGAGGTGAGATTAGGAGCAGATTTATCTCAGGCCTTGCACACCTGAGCCGTTGACCTGCCTCCCTGATCTGCCACAAGCAAGCACAACTTGCCCCACCCCCACCCCCACCCCATCTCAAACTTTCACATACTTATGTCAACACTGTTCATAGATCCGTAGCCCTCACACATGTATCCCCACATCCATACCTGTACATTGTCATGCGTACTCTTGCTCACCTGTATGGTCCTACCCTCTCACATCTCCCTGCCTAAGCCGTGTTGCCCAGGCTCACATGTGTGACCCAGTTCACACCTACACACGCCTTTGTGCATCCCCTCTGTTCGGCCCTCTGGTGCACACGTGCCTACACCTCCCTGTATGTGTGCACACTTGCTATAGAGCACAGGCTCATCTTGCCCGGACCTTCAGGCCTCTGAACCCCTGACCTGTTGGCTTTTTTGTGTTGCAGTCCCCCCACGAGCTGGATGATAGCGGCAGTGAGTCCAGTGGCCTCCAACTGGAGGGCCCTAATTTCCTCAAGGCATCGAGTGAGAGTCTCGCTGACCCCCAAGCAGAAGACAGGCCTCTGGTATTCTTTGACCTCAAGATCGACAATGAAAGTGGGTTCTCCATGAGCTGTGCCACTTCTTTCTGTCTTAGTCTCTCAGTACCCAGGAAAAGTGCAGGTAGAGACACCCGTAAGGTTCCAGCAGCCCTTAGCTCTGGCAGGCCATGACAGCCAGGTGGACAGAGGACTCTGACCTCCCTGCCCCATGCCTGAAGTTCCTGTGTCTGCCTGCAGTGGAACTTGGCCATGAGAGGGAGACATGTAAGGCCACAGGTTCACTTCTGACAAGACCTCTACACAAAGAGGCTGGGAACAGTGTGTGGGCTCACTGTTGACAAGTAATCCACCCTTGAGCTTCGGCTGTGATCACACGTTTCCCAAAACAGGCCCCATCCCACAAATGGATACGCAAGGGAGGCCTGCAGAACCTAGGCCACAGGGAGCTGTGACTCCTCCTCCTCCTCCTCCTCCTGGGAGCCCCTTGTCTTCCTCACTGTCATCCTTGCCTGGCCCCTCAGCTCTGACCTTTTGCCCTGGCCAACAGTTATGGGCCCTACCATTGTGGCTAGCTTCCCAGCCAGAAGCATTAAGTATTTGCATAGAACAAAAAAGCCATCTATAGGCTTCAGGGGGAGATTCCGGGCCATGCTCTTAGGGAGGGGGTACACAGGCCATTTCTGCTGTCTGCAGCCCTGGGTTCTGATCCAGCTGGGACTGATGGGCTTGGAGGTAGGAGCAGGAGAATAGAAACACTGTCGTGTCTCTGGTGGAGGTGGAGGCTGAGAAAACACAAAAGGAGCAGAGTTCCCAGGGTTGGGCATCAGTGACAGGTGACTTCCTGACAGGCGAGTCCCCCGATCCCTCTCTCCCATCAGAGCCAGGCAAGAATTATATACGGAGGATATTTGGTTCCTTCCGGCAGGCCTCAATGTGGGTTCCCTAGGTAGTGGGTCAGCAGCCTGACCCCTTGCACCCACCCCAGTGCCTCCTGAGCCCTGGAACCTCACCCTGCCCCTCTTTTCTGCCTAGCCCAGAAAATTAGCCAACTGGCAGCCGTGAACCAGGAAAGCAAGTTCCGAGTACTCATTCAACCCGAGGCCTTCAGTGTCTACTCGAAGGCCGTCTCCCTGGAGGTTGGACTGCAGCACTTCCTCAACTTCCTCACCTCCATGCACCGACCCATCTTGGCCTGCTCTAAGCTGTGGGGGCCTGGACTCCCCATCTTCTTCAAGGCCCTGAATGATATTAACAAGCAGTGGGAATTCCAGGTCTCCATCTCCGGTTTCTTGGCTGTGTTGCCTCTCATCCAGGAACGCATACCAGGTGCCAGCAGCTTCAAACTTAGGAACCTGGCCAAGACCTACCTGGCAAGAAACATGAGTGAGCGGAGCGCCCTGGCTGCGGTGCTGGCCATGCGAGACTTGTGCTGCCTCCTGGAGGTCTCTCCAGGGCCGCAGCTGGACCAGCATGTCTACCCCTTCAGCAACTTGCAGTGCTTTGCTTCCCTGCAACCCCTAGTTCAGGCGAATGTCCTGCCCCGGCCCGAGGCCCGCCTCTTGGCCCTCCACAATGTGAGCTTCCTGGAGTTGCTGACTGCATACCGCAACAACCCACAAGAGGGCTTGAAGAGGTATGGTCGCTATCTGAGCCTGCAGACCTGCTCGTCGTCGGCGTCCACCCAGCTTGCTCAGTACCTCCAGGCTCTGAGCACCTACATGGAAGGACTGTTGGAAGGGTGTGACCCAGCCATGGCAGAGGGCAGCTCTGCTCCTTTCTCTAGCCAGAGCTTGGCCAAAAAGGCCTCCCAGCAGACCTGAAAGGAAGGGATGCCTGGCTTAGCAGGTGGCCACAGAGCAAGGAGCATTTCTGAGTCGGGCCCTACCCTGCACCGCATCCCCAGGTCTTAGTCTTCTATACAGAACCTGCTGTTTAGTTCAGGATAGGTGCCCTTTATCTGGGACCAAATGCTCTTTCTCTAAAATTCCTGCAGCAGTCGCCAAAGGCACCCCAGACCTAGCCCCTCCCTTGGAAGCCAGACTCGGGAAGACTTGAGTAAAGAAGGCATGGCCTCTGGGCTCTCTGGTTGGCCCTCATATGGTCCCTGTCACCTCACCTACCACTACCACAGCAGGGGCCTTGCAACTCTTCCCTGATGCTCAATGTTCCAAGTGATCTCCTGATAAGTCCCCACGAACAACACCTTAAGAAAGAAGTTCTCAAATGTGGGTTGCAACTATTGGAAGACACCTATTTCTGATGGTCTTAGGAACCCCTAACCGTAACTGTAATTTTGCTACTGAGCGGTGTCTCAGTTTCTAAGACCATTGGAAAGGCATGTTTTCCCATGGTCACGACCCACGGCTTGAGAACCCCTGCTCTAAGGCGTTGCTTACCACTATACCAGCAGCCTATGGGCACCCAAAGTGCCTTTCAAACCAAACTGCCCTTCATGAATTTGGGTTCTCCCAGCTCCCACTGGCCAGAGGCCCAACTGTGTTCACTTTTATTTTTTTTTAACACTTTCATTCCAAAGAGGCCTCCTAGCAGCAGAGAGAACGAGAAGCTGCTGCCCCATCCATCCCTGTCCCTGTTTCTACAGACGATTGACCCTTCCAGCTTTATTCTTTGTTCACGGGCCACCTAGCCCCTCCTTGCGTTCAGCCCTTCCAAGGGACACCCAGTGGGGCACTTGCATCTAGAGCTTGGGAAGGTGAACCTGTGGGCATTACTCAGGGTCCCCAGAATCAGGTTCTCTGGAGTAGGGCCTGCAGCATTAGCAGGTTCTCCAGGTGGCTCTATATGCTGAGTGTCACTGCTGTCACAGGCCACCTCACCTCAAAGGGAAGTAGAGGAAGTCCCTGGCTGCGTATACATTGAATATGGTTAGGAAAAGGTCAGAGCTCCACTCCGGTGTTCTGTAAAATGGGCTGGCTGGCCTGTGTTATTATCTCAGAGTCCCTAGCCAGCTTTGTCATCCTGGGCTCTCAGGCATGGGCAGCAGCTTGCTGGGGCCGCAGATAAGAAGCATCCTCACCCTTCTCTATGGCTAGCTGAACTGCTGTTGGCATTTTCCGCCTCCTCACCCTGACCCATTCCCTGCTTCCTGCTCCTAGGGTATTTCCCAGATAGCCCAGAGGTCCAGTCTTGACAGTCTCCAGTTTCATGTGGGTGATGCCTGCATCCCCACACCTCTGACCCATCCTATGGGTGACCCAGTGTTCTAAGGCATTCTGTAGAAGCTCATCCACACCAGGTGAGGCTGAACTCTGACAGCAATCCACTAGAGCACTGGTTTAGGTGGGGCTGAGGATGGGAGAGGAAGAGAGGCTGAGTCTATTGCCTGGCTGGGGCCATGTCTTACCCTCAACCCTCAACCTATCCCTGAACTAAACAGAGCTCACTGAGTCCCAGCCGCACCAGGCTGGCTGTCTTCAGTTGCAGCTGATCATGGATTTATGACAAAGGGAAGAAGGTATCGCCCTGTCCTATCTGCCATTACAGCAGTTAGTATGTGAATTTTTTTTTCTTGGTTTTCAGAGGCAGGGTTTCTCAGTGTGACCCTGGCTTTTCTGGAACTCACTCTGTAGACCAGGCTGGCCTCGAACTCGGAGCTCCACCTGCCCCTGCCCCACAATTGCTGCGATTAAAGGTTTGCATCACCACATATTGCCTGGCAAATATATGCATCTCCAAAGCCTAACGTTCCAATCACAGACTCCACCTAGCCTTCCTTTCCTAGATCCATCGAGCCTGCTCTTCCATGGGGACAAGAGGCTCTCCCAGGCATGGGTGAGCAGGTAATTGCCCAACTTGACTCAGGGAAATCTTTCTGAGTCTGGCAGAGCTGAGCACGCCCTTGTTCAGAGATAATGGCGCTAAGGTTATAAATCCTCTATTTCAAGTAGGGAAACCCAGGCGACTTTCCACAGGGTCATTCCCAAGGGTGAGAGGCACCAACTTTGAGAATTCCCTTCTAAGGTGAGGTGGGGGCCAGAGACCAGGACCTGTGGACCCTTTGCTTCTGGGACCTCTCCTGTTTTCAAGTTTCTAGAGCGGGCAATAAAATCCTATAAACTGAAATCGAGGGGCAGCGCAGGACACTGGCAATGTGTTTGTGCAGTGTCGTTGATATCCTGGGTGGAACTTAACTTGTAACTTTCAAGGCTCAGTGCACAGCATTCTAGTGCCCCTCGGCTGGGTGAAGAGCCAGGCGACAGCAACAGCATTATTAGACCCACTTCCTGTCCAGGTGCCCAAGTTCCGTTGCTGGAGCTCTGTTTGACCCTTTGACCAAAAAATATCAAAGTTTAAGTATACTGTGTATGCTACATTTTAAAATTCTGTCAAGATTTACCCTACCACCACTACTAACAACCAAGACCTCATTGGACTACAAGTTAGGACACTGGAATTCAGTTCTTGCGAGCTTGTGGCCCTGAGCTGGCACTGTTAACTCCCTGGTTCCCAGGCAGCTCCTTTGTAAATGAGATGATATGTATTGTATTTTAATGATGATGGAGGCTGCTTGCTCATTTCCCAGCTGCTCAGACTCCCGAAATAATCACACAGAAATATGTATTAATTAAAACACTGTTTGGCCCATAGCTTAAGCATATTTTTAGCTAGCTCTTATATCTTAAATTAACCCATTTCTATTATTTTACATTTTACTACGAGGCTCGTGGCCTACCAGCAAAGTTCATCTGGCAGCTGGCATCTTTCTCCTCTGGCGGCTACATGGTGTCTCCCTAACTCCACCTTCTTTTTCCCAGCATTCAGTTTAGTTTTCCTGTCTAGCTCTATTCTTCCCTATCACAGGCCAAAGCAGTTTCTTTATTCATCAACCCATAAAACTAACACATATACAGGACTTCCCACGTCATTTTTACTTTATGAGATCTTTGTTAGAATCAATGAGAAGATCAGTTTTCTGATCTTAAGGTCTTAATTCGCTAACACATAAGATGAGAGCTACCACTTTATAAGAAAACCAACAGCAAATCTTAGCAAAATAGTAATATTAATACACACTGTGTTGGGGGAGGGGGCCTAGGTCTGTGGGAGCCAAAAAGAGTCAGGTGCCACCTTGTAGCCTCTGAGCAGTAGTTGGCTCCGTGTTCCTAACACCTCCAATGGGAGAAGGACCTGGAGTAGAGAACAGGCTTCCCGGAGCCACTTGGTTTATCTCTGCCCCGCCCCTCTTTGGGGAACCAAAAGCTAGCTAGTTCAAGTTCTTGTGAATGTTCCTTGAAAGTCTGCTTGGCCCAGCCCCAGCCACCTTTCTCCAGCCTGCACAACACCCAGAAGCTACCCAAGTGCTGCTGTTCTGCCACCCTGGACCCCACCATTCCACCTTTAAAGCCTAACCTCTTAGCAGAACCCCCAGATCTCAGACGCCCCGCCCACCGCACATCAGGTTTGTCCAACTTCTTCGAATTCAGGGTCTCTGTCTCACATCGCACCCTTATTCTCTGTTAAGGGAATGGCACAGCTAGTTTGTGTAGGGTTCCGGGCTTTGACGCCCTAAACATTAAGTCAGGACACTGAACAAGCTCAGGTAGAAGAGGAGCCAAGCTCACGTTACTCGCAAATTCTGTCAGCAGAGGGCGCCACAGCCCACATGTCTGCCCAGAGGTTGCTGTTTGGGGACCATTGCGCACAGCACTCCCGAGGTTAGTATCCTACCCTTAAATTATGCCGACCCTTGGTAGAGTGCTGAGTATTCTCCTGGGACTCCAGGAGGCAGCTTTTAGGCAGCTGACCCATGGAGAACAATTTTCCAATGTTGAGCATTTTATATTTATTTGGTGAATACATATCAGAAATGATATTACCGATCTTGCTGATTTCTGAGGTACTGTCTCTCAGAATGGCACTAACATGGAAGTCTTTAAAGGTCTACTTGTCATCAATATCAAGCAACTATAAGCCCAGCAGGGACACAGTCCCAGCAAGCCTGTGAATGTGGAAGCATATGGTCTCATTATGCAGAAATGTTGGGTAATCGGTGAAATTAAGGTGAAGACTATGTTAGGGGGCATGGGTTAAGCTAGCTGTCTGGGGGCATGGGTTAAGCTAGCTGTCTGGGGGCATGGGTTAAACTAGCTGTCTGGGCATGGAGGCTTGACCTACAGTCCAGCTGAGGGTAGACGGTAAGGTGTCTGCTTAGATCAGACTCAGGGTCACACTTGGAAGGAAGGTTGGAAGCCAAGTCAATCATGCTTTAGTCTCTAGGTCCTTGTGACTTTAGCAACCGGGAAGTTCTTGAAGCTTCTGAGTCAACATGGCACCCCAGTGCATGCTGAATCCCTTTCTGGATTTTAGAAATCACTCTTTTAGAAGCGATCAGATGGGCCTCTGCTGCAGCTCACTGAACCCCAGAGGGGTCAAGTCCCACCCGTCATGGGAGAGACTGAGGCACATGCAGATCTTGCTAAGCCCAGGATGTCCAGGTGAGCAGTCCTCCCAGCTCTCACACGGGGAGGGAGACCGCGTGCCAGACACGCCTTAGCCAGTGGCGTACACAGCTTCACCGCCTCCCAGCCACACTATCTCATTACACCTTTGCCTTCATCCTAGCTATGAACACGGCGAACAGCAAGGCCAGCTCTCTTGCCTATGGCAGAAGTAGAATTGATTCCCACAGGAAGCCCACGTCTAGTATCATTTGTGACCCCCCCCCACACACCCTCCCTACTGCACAGGGTACCTGGCCTGAGCTTAGGAGTAGATTTCCTGTCTCTTTCAGTGGCCTCTGGTTGTCCAGTCTCAGGTGATGGGAAATGCCAGGCCTTTGAAGCTACTGGTCCCACTGCTCAAGTTTATCCTAATTCTAATCTTTTAAAACTTTAAGGCAGCATCTCTCATCCTCTTTGTTTCATTACCGCCAGCCCCCAAGGAATCTTCTAAGATAATTTGTGTCCTACTTCCCCTTTCTTCCAGCTGAAGCTTTCATGCACGACGTGCTGTGCCTTCTCCAGGGCCTTGCAGATTTGTGGTCTCTGACTGGAGGGTTTCCTTTCATAGGAAGCTGTGCCTACAGGGGGCAGCTAGCTGTTCGCCCTTGTTAGGGACGTGCAGTTTCTGGAGAGGCCCCCTCTCCAGTTATAGCGCAAGTGAGAAGTGGTAGTGGGGTGCTGAGCCTTCTGTGGGGGTGGGAACATCCAGAGAGAAAGGAAAGAAGATATGGGTGAGGTCTCTGGGACACATTCCCCTCTCCCCCCCACCAGCATAACCAAAGTCCTACCTGACGGCCATGCTGAGCCTGGGGCTCCCGAATGGTAGGCAGGGCTATCATTTGCTTTGGTGACTGAATCCATGTGTGGGCTCCTGACCCATTGGTTCCAAGTGAAGAAGATGCCTGGGGAGAGGTCTAGAATTTCCACTCACCCTTCCCATCACCACACACACATGCACTCACGCACGCACACACACACAACCCTGGAAGTTTGGAAGTTCCTATCCAATTGTACAAAATGTGTTTGTTGTCAAATGAGGGGAAAATCCCTTCATTCTTGGCTCAAGGAACTTCCTTAAATTCAGCTCACAGGAATTCTCTCCAAGTCCAGCTGCCTGGAGTACAATGCAGTTCATACATGTTATAAATATCCCCAACTCGACAGCCAGGCGGATTACAAGCCAGCTAGCTAACCACAAAAAAATCCCAAAAGCCAGCCAGTCAGACCAGTGTGGTAAGACCAGGATGAAATGGGGCCATCTGTCTATCTAAAACAGCACCGTTGTGTGCAACTTAAGGGCAACACAAAGTATTGCTTCGCTCCTAAGGCTTAAACAAACGCTAACCTTTAGCAAATCAGCAACACAACACAATGAGGCACCTACCTCCCTTCTCAGCAAAGAAGCCTGCACGCATGCTGACTCCCAGAACAGGCTTTTGTGCCTCCCCCCAACGCCCCTCCTCTTTCCATCCCCTCTCCCCTCTCTTTCCTTGTTATAGTCCCCTCTTTCCATGTCCCAGTTTAGAATCTAGGCGTTTCTATCACCAAGTCCCCGTGACAATGTCCTCTACCCTGCCGGGGTCACCCCCTTGGTGGCAGGCTGGAGGGATTTATAGCAGCCCTCACCTCCCCTGGGCCCCCACCTGGCTAGTAGACAGCCATCTGCAGGAAGGTCACTTTCTCACAGCCGGCAGACTTGTGGGTTGGACGGAGCCCCACCCCCTTACACACATCAGAGCAAATAAATACATCGAGTTTGCAGCTGGGTCTGGAGATAAGGACCGAGGGAGATGAGGCACACATGCTCACATGATAGCTACACAGGAGCTCCCGCTTTCCAGCCCCTTGCGGTCTTCCCAGCAAAGCTTATTTGGAGCATTTGAAAGTGGAATTGTGGAATATTGTGCCTGGGGGTGGGGTTGTCTCCTGGAAAGTGACCAGGCTGAGAGACTCTCCTAATCTTGGATCTTGTAGGGACTGACCCAAGGAAAGAGGGCCTGTTCAGGTCAACAGGTAGAAGGAATACTTAGCACAGGAGGGGAAACTGAGGCCCAGAAGGGAGACTGATTTTCCCAAAGCCTCACAGGAGTTCAGCAGGAAATAAGTCGAACCTGTGAAGCCCTGATCTTCCTTGATGGTGAACTGTGCCTGGCTGTCCTCAGGGTGTAACTACTGAAGCCGACCTTGCCTGGCTGCGGAACTGGCATGGTCTGTAACATGCCCACCCTTCGCCAAGAAGCCTTTCCTTCCGCAGCCAGCCAGCGACCTGACTGGAGTTCTCCCCTGTGAGGTCCAACTTGACATTAGGCTCCCCAGTAAGTCTTCAACAGTGGTCATGGCTCTGGTCCCGGCACTCTTGAACTGTGGAGGGGAGAATTGGGGCCATGAAGGAGGGGCACCTTTCAGAGGCCGAGGCAGCCTCCTTTTCCCCTGGAGAGGCCTCATCTGTGCAGTCTCCCAAGTAGAGGGCCTACCACCCTACCACTCTTGGCCGCCAAGGGCGTATCTTTGACATGGACTGACCCTGGAAAGGGAGTGGCTTATAGCAGCCACATGCTGGGCCCTTCTCAGCCACCTCTATAGCTCTGCATCCTCTCTCAGATTCAGCCTCCCCTCTACTATAGGACAAGAACCAGGGATGGGGACCTCCAGGCCTCTGGTGATGCTTGGTGACACTGGGATTCTTTCAGCCTGTTTTCACAGCTCCATGGCAGTCCTTCCCCGAAGGTAGTACAGGCTTGCCCAAATTTTCCAGGCTCCTAGAGTCGGGTATAGGCGCAGAGAGGAGAATACGCCTTCTGCCCACTTGCAGTCCCCAGCCCATATCTGAGACCTTACTCCACAGAAGCCAGGCTCCCTTGATTCTCTGGAGATGGGAGGAGCTCTGAGGGGCTGCTCTGCCTGGGAGCTCCTCGGGATGCAGACCCAGGAACCACACCACTGTCTCACTCCCTCTTCCTTTGCCTTCTTCCGCTTTAAAGCTTTCTTCTGGGGTATTTCTTTTTTTTTAATATTTATTTA